TTTCTCCTAGGGATTCTATAGCTTCCTTCATTCTTCACCTCTCTCATATTACAGAAAGAAGGTAATTTTTCCTGGCCATTTACTAAAGCTCATTAAAGACTGGAGAGAACAAACAATGCTACTCCTCAGAGACTACCATTCAAAGTCACTCTACAATTCTCTGTTCTAATACTTGAGACAAATTAATTATTCCTTAGTGAAAAGTGTATAATTCCTATTCTTCATTTTTGGGGGGTGGGGAATAATAATGGGAAGTTTATATCTGAGTGAAAAGCTGTCTGTGCTGAAGGGAAATGAGAAAAAATGTGTGTTCCGAGCAGAGTAAAAGCAATTATTCTAATAATAATTCTAAGAATATTAATGTCTTTTTAAAGTAGATTGCCTTCAAATAAACACAGAGGTTGAAGCAATGGGAGGCTGGTTTATTTATTAATCATTCCAAATGTGCATTCTTCTAAATGAACAACTGCACGATCAACTTTGCTGGCACATATTAAATTTAGTTAAACAGCAACTTGCAAATGTCTCAAAACTTTTGTAACCAGAGACTAATTTGTTTAACACTTTAAAATGTTATATTGATGTAAAGTCCCACATATTAAACTTCAAAAGGAAAAGCTCTTGAGAGTTCCTCATTTTTAAGACTACATGCTGGAAATGAGATGGAGACAAGGCTCATTCTGCATTCTCTTGTTTTGTTTTGTTTTTAAATACGAGGCAGTCTCTGGGCCCTGGCCCTCATCCTCGGCACTGTGTTTGGTCATCTGCAGAACAGCAAGCATCTAACTGTGGGGACTGTAAGGCGATGGTTTAGAAAGGTCTAGTGTTTCCCTTTCATCTCTATTAATTAATCCTGGCTCCGTTTGCCCAGAGTACGTTGCTGTTGACATCACCTTTTCCTTACACTTTAAAGAGTCCCGAGAGAGACCGGCTGCAGAACAAAACTGGACAAAGAGTACATTTGGTAACCATTTTATTTCTCAATTACCAACCTAAACGTATGGAAAAGATTTGCTCGCTATCCGATTTACACAACAATTATGCTTCAAAAGTTTAGAAATAAATAACTTTTTTCTTGGACTCATTAGTTCGTCTACCAATTGTAATTGGTGTCAACTAACGAGTTTGCTCCATGGCTTGCCCTTAATTACTGATAAAAGCTAAATTGCAACTCTAGCCAATCAGAAACTAGTTTATTCATGAGAGTATAGTATTCTTTTAAAAGCTCTGTTTGTCCTAATAAGTGGTTTTGTGTTTGGCTGAAACCTTCCATAAGCCCCCTTAACATAAGCAAAGGACTCTTAATAACTATATACAGTGAAGGAATATCATTACTGCCCCCATTCAAACAGATGAAACAAAGGGAACGTTTTATACATTTCAAATGTACACATCATGAATTTAGCAGACCCTGAAATCTCATCCATCTGGTGGGAAATAGATATTAGTACCCATAAGACTGATACAGAGAATTTGTTTCCTCTCCCAGTGTCTGTTTCTTTCAAGGTCTCCCTAGCCTTCTGAAACAGGCGGTAAGGAACAAGAGAAACCCAATAGAGGCATGAGGCATGTTAAATCCTAATGGTATAAACAAGACTTAACCGAGGCCAAAATCCCACATTAAAAATAATAGGCATTCTGGAAACAAGAGTGTTAAGAGATAGCATGTGGTGGAATCATGCCGCCAGGGAGGCCTTGCTACTGGGAGAGCCTAATTGCAGAAACATCATCCTGAGGACAGCCCTCTTTGTTGTCATTGTTGTTGTTTTCAGAAAACAAAATAAACCTCTTCAGTATTATCAGAAATTCTGAAGATTGGTTCTTTAAAATAATTAAGATGCTTTTGGCTGCAATGATCAGAAAACTCAGTTAAAAGTGTCTAGACTGTAATCCCAGCACTTTGGGAAGCCGAGGTGGGCGGATCACCTTAGATTAGGAGTTCGAGACCAGCCTGGCCAACATGGTGAAACCCCCATCTCTACTAAAAATACAAAAATTAAGCAGGCGTGGTGACACCTGCCTGTAATCCTAGCTACTCGGGACCCTGAGGCAGGAGAATCCCTTGAATTTGGGAGGCGGAAGTTGCAGCGAGCCGAGATTGCGCCACTGCACTCCAGCCTGGGCGACAGAGTGAGATCTAGTCTTCAAAAATAAATTAAAATAAAAAATAAAAGTGGCTAGAACAATAGGGGTGTTTATTTCCTCAGTAACGAGAAGTTAGAAATCCCAAGTTTCCAGTTGGATTAATTCAGGCCCCCATCAACATTATTAAAGACATAGGTTCTTACTATCTTTTTACTCCCTTTGTCTCATGGCCGTGGTGACTCCCTTCAGGGTCACCAGATAACAGGAGTTCCAGGCATGTGGTCCTCACGTAACACCAAAAGGTATCATCAAAAGGTATAAGAGATGGGACCATTTCTTTCCCCACTTTTCTGGTTTGTTTGGATAAAGAGCAAGGACACCTTTCCTGGAAATATTGGCAGCTGACCTTTCACATCTTACTGGTCAAAAGGAAGTCACATGCCTACTCCTAAACCAATCACTGGCAAGGAGTGCTCCAGTCTTGGACCAATCATGATTCACCTCTGTAGTCTGTGAAGCGTTTTAGGTTCTGGTAAACCACTTGGCACCTTGGTAACTGAACAAAACCAAGCTTCCACTAGAGAGGAGAAAGGGGATGGTTGTGAATGATTTACTGGAAAGATAAACAACAATGCCTGTCACACACTTGAGATTGCTATTCCAAGTAACCTATCTCGGTGATCTCCAGTCAAAAGTGAAGGGTCAATGTTAAGTATGAAGTCAGAAGACAAAGTTGAGCATGAGGTTCAGTCTTTTGTGGCTCTCATACCTGTTCTCTTGACCAATCACCATTCAATAAAGGGAATCATGTGCTGGAATTGGAAGGAGTTGTAGCCAGCAATTGATGAGGTGGGAAGAGTGCAACCTGGGGCCCAGGGTAGGCTCTGCCACTAGCTTGCTAGGTGATTGCTACTGAATCCTGGACCTCTGCACTTCCCTGACTTCATTGTGAAATGAAGGGGTTGGGTCAGAGAAACCTTAATGTCTCTTCTCACCTTGGAATCTGATAGATTTTCCACTTTTCTCACTGCCATCTGGTAGTCTCCTTTGTCTCCTTACTCTGCAGCTGATACAAACAGCATGCCAAAATTCTCTTCTTGCCTTTAGCTGTTTCTTTATCCTTTAACTCTTTCTTCTTAGACTAGATTTTAAAAGCCCAGAGGACATGACCCCTCTGTGTTTTGCAGTATCTTGTGTTCATTGAACTATCATTGATTGAGGGCCTACTCGGTGCTGTACACTGTGTGAAGGGCTTTGCTCAGACAAAGTGGGCCCTCTGTCATTATTTCCTTATTCATTTTGCTCCAGCAGCTTTTGGTGTCTTCAGATTTTCTTACAAGAGGCAACGTAGCATTCCTAAGGTGCAGGTAATACGTGTGTAGCTTATTATTATTATGAGGATGAGGCCAGGCCCAGTCTCACAGGATCACATTTGCTGTGAATAAGACAGTACTCCCTGCTTCCCAGAGCCACCCACTCATTTCATCAGCACAGTTTCCATATCTGGCAGCAGAGTTAGAGGAAGTAAGAGAGACTAGTTCCCATAACCTGTCTTAGTCTTTGAGACAAATGACAATGTAATACTAACTTTAAGGAACTTGTCAAGGCAAGTAAGGGTGATTTTACCAGAGAACAGAGAAGTAGACACTAAGAGATCCAAATTTTAAGGTAAACATGGAGAATTCTTTTGGATGCTTTTTAAAAAATAATCTCTAGCATCATTTTTAAAACACTTGGTCAGTAATAACTTTGTAGCTTTCATGCATGCGACCAAAAAGTAAACACGTTTTTACTCTTCCAAGCTGACAAGCAGGTGGCTCTAGAATTTTAGAGGGGAAAAAAAAAAAATCCATGCCGTTGATTCCTTTCTTTTTTTTTTTTTCCACTTGACAGCATCTTTATTATAGTTTTAGAAGTATTTGGTGTGTTGAATTTCTTGAAGATGGGAGTGATTATTTTGCAATTAATAGTATACAAATGCCTGACAAGCAGTTCATCACCAGATCAATGGCAACACAGAAAAGAGCACCAGATCACTTTACTACATGTGCCCAATGTAGTACCAGCCCTAACTGTGATGAGGCCTGGAATTTTTATGTCACAATAAAAAGTATTGTGGCAGACAATACTTTTGTAACTGTGGTTAGGCTGTTTATTATCTAACCATCATCCCTGCCCCCACTTCTCTGCTAATCAATTCCTGATTTTTTTCAAGGCAGAGATTAGTTCATTCAAGAGAAGGTGTTTTTCTCCTTAGCTGGCCCAGGGATTTAATCAGGATTGGCGTAGGGCTGAGCATATGATCTTGTTCTAGCCAATGAGACATAAAGGGGAAAGGAAGTCCAATGGGTACTTCCCTTCCAAATAAAGCCCCTCTCCCAAATCAATGACCTATTTTCAATCATCACCTTAGCCTCTTAGCAGCATTTGCAGATTTGACCAGTGTTCTTCTTACAACATTTTCTTCATGTGTCCTCTGGTTTTCCTCCAACTTTGTTACCTCCTCTTTTTCAAGTACTGGACTTGCTCTTCCTCCTCTTGATGACCTTTAAAGTTGGGTAGCCCAGGGCTCAATCATTGGCCTTTTATAGTCTTATTCATGGTTGTTATACCTTTTATATATTAACAATTTCCAGATTTATTTCTGTAGCACAGATCTCTCCCATGAGCTCCAGACCTACATATCTAATTGGCTTCTCAACTTCACTACATGGATGTTAAATGGGGATCTCAATCTTATTATGCTTAGGACCAAAACAGAATCTTGATTTAGCCCATAATCCTTTCCCGGGCCTCCCATTCAGAAAAGGACAGCTCTCATTCATCTGCTTATCCCAGAAAATGAAGTCATCCTTGATTTTGTTCTTTCCCTTTAGTTCCCCACAAAGGGCACTGACATGTGCTCTTAACATTACCTTCAAAGTATATTTGGTATCTTACACCTCCCACCACTTCCACCATTTGTCCTGGTCCACATCAACTTCATCTCTCACGTGGAATGCTGTAGTCATCTCTTTATTAGTTTTTCACTTCCACTTTTGCTTCCTGTGTCAGAATTAATTTCAACTCTCTGCAAAAAATTTAAAAAGTTTTAAGAAAGATATGTTTATTTCTCCCTCATATGTTTGGAAGCAACTATTGCAGTGTTGGTTTGACAACTTCATAGTATTGCCAGGGACTTGCCTTTCACCAGTGCCTCCATCTTTCATCTGTCTGCTCCATCATCTTAGTACAAGGTTTCATCCTAGTACAAACTTCCATCCTCAAGGCCATCTCATGGTGAAGCTTTAGTGATTAGGTCCACATTTCAGGCCCAAAGAAGGAAGAAACAGAAGAGAAGAAGAGAGTTGAATGAGCTCTCTTTAAACACATTCCTAGAAGTCCTATCCACACTTTCTCTTACATAGAATTTATTGGCCGAAATGTAGTCACATGGTCTATTGAGCTGCAAGGGAAGTTTAGGAAATGCAGTCCTTTATTCCAGGTGCCAATATATGCAGTTTAAATTGGGGTTCTATTTCTAAGGAAAAACGAATCCTGTGGTAAGCTTGTAGTAATTTCTGCCACATATTCATCTAATCAATTCTTCCCCAAGGGCCAGTTAACTTTTTAAAAAATTAAATCAGATTATGGCACAACCCCACTTAACACCCTCCAATGGCTTCCCAATATGCTCAGATTAAAATCTAAAGGCTCTGTTTCTCTCTTCAGTATCTTCTGTTACACTGTGTCCCTCTCACTCCATTCTAGCAGCATGAGCTAACACTAAGCACGCCATACTGATTTCAACCCGAGAGCCTTTGCATTTGCTGTTTTTGTGGCCTGAATGCATTTCTGTCAAATATTGGCACAATTTAGCATCTCACTTCATTCAGGTACAGCCTTGTCCTGTTCCTGATTTTACTTTTTAAAACAATGACTGTAGAGCTATTATCACAATTCTGTGGAGCCTAGAAAAATCTTACTTTTGGAGTATCTGCCCAAATCATATCAAACATATCCCACAATAATATAATTTGACAGTGCCTATATAAGAAGCAAAATATATTGCAATTGTCAAGTTAATCCACTACCATTTGTAGACATTTAGTTGGATATTTACTAACTTCCATTTCAGAGTTTTGCTTTTGTATTCTTGAGCTTATATAAGCACACAGCATTGTGCCATGGGGCATACTGGGTACAACTTCCCTTGACTATAAATTTAACACCAACTAACACACTGAAATTGTTCTGGCTATAGAAACTTCCTTGGTTTTAGATCTTAATGAAAGATTATTAATAAGTGTCTCATAGCTTATGTTACTTCTACTATGACAATCCAATGATGGAACAATGGTTTAGAGCAGTGGTCTCAATCTTGGCACTTTTAACATTTGGGCAGAGAAGGTTGGGTGCAGTGGCTCACACCTGAATCCCAGCACTTTGGGAAGCTGAGGCGGGTGGATCACCTGAGGTTAGGAGTTCGAGACCAGCCTGGCCAACATGGTGAAATCTTGTCTCAACTAAAAATATAAAGTAATTAGCTGGGCGTGGTGGCGGGCACCTGTAATTCCAGCTACTCAGGAGGCTGAGGCAGGAGAATTGCTTGAACCCTGGAAGTGAAGGCTGCAGTGAGGCGAGATCATGCCACTGCACTCCAGCCTGGGTAACAGAGTGAGACTCCATCTCAAAAAGCAAAAAAAAATTGGGGCAGAATAATTCCTTGTTGTGGGGGGCTTTCTTGTGCCTTGCAGGATGTTTAGCAGCATCCCTGGCCTCTACCCACTGGTGATAGCAGCAACTCAGTGTGTTTCCCCAGTGTAACAAGCAAAAGTGTCTCCACACATTGCCAAATGTCCATTGGGGGGCAAAAACCATCCCCAGTTGAGAACCACAGGTTTAGAAGCTAAAGTTGCACAGACTAATTTATTAGCATGTAGGAGTGGACTGTGGAAGGTTTCTTCAATCTATTAAGCTTTGCCAAATTCCAAGTTTTGCACCTCAGCTTTGACCCTATTCTTGGACAATCCTTAACATTTATGATTTGAGTTTCCTCAGTGTTAAAATGGAGGCAATGGCAATGATGCCTATTGTATTAGGTAGTTATTGTGATTAAATGAATTGCTCTATGGAAAAAACCTAGCTTAGTGTCTGGTATTCCTTGGAAGGTTCAATATTTGTTATTTCTCTCTTCTGAGTTAAAATAGAAATATCTGAGTGAAAAACAATATTGTGGCTATTTCTGACATAAACTCAGAATGTGAGAAGAGGAATTCTGTGGGGTGAGAGATGGGGGAGGTGCCTGCTCAGCTTCTCAGAAACAGAAGGGAAGGTATAGCTGCCATGAAACATGGACACACTAAAGATTATCAAAGGCGCATGAACTCAATTGTAAATTGTGAAATAGAAACCATGGTTCTATCTGCCCCAGATATTCAAAATATATCCAAAATCTGATCCTTTCTTACTTTCCCTTCTGCTATCACTGTGGTTCCAGTCACCATCATCTCTTGCTCAATTTCTGCAAGAACCTCCTCATGGTGATCTTTCTGCTTCTTCCTGACTGCTTTGTTGTTTGTTCTCACCCAGCAGCCAGGATGAAGTGTAAATCAGATCATATCTCTTTTCTGCTCAGAATCCTCCAATAACATCCAGGTAAAAGCCCAAGCCCCACATCTGTCCCAATCTAAACTCTGATCTCATCTACTACACCCTGGGCAATCTGGTCTCCTACCTGCTTCTAAAACATACCAAACACATCTTCCTTAGGGCATTTGCAATGTTGGTGCTTCTATCTGGAATTCTCTTTCCATTAGGAGCATGGCTCCTTTACTTCCTTATGTCTCTTGGCAAATATTGTCTTGTCATTGAAGCCTCTCCTGACTCACCTACACAAAATTGTGCTCCACCATCAAGAGCCTTTTCACTTGGCCCCACCAATCCCTATCATTCTTACCCCACTTCCTTTTCTTCCTAGCATGTTCCACCTTCTAACATACAATAATTTATAAATGCCATAAGGGAAGGGGCTTTGTTTTCTTTGCTGCTGTATCTCTACCACCTTGAACATTGGTTGGCACATAGTGGGTGCTCAATAAATGTTTTTTGAATGTATGAATGAACTGAGGATAGCACAATTTTAATTGAGGTAAAAATAACAAAGAAAACCAGGAGTCCACTTGTGTATGTCAACTGACACAAATCCTACAATACCCTGAACCTGCCAGACTGGTTTTCCCATGGCCCTCCTGAACATGTGTATAACAACTCTGAAATGTGTAACATATTCCCCCACCTCCTTTGCCCCTGCAAATAGTCATGGACACTTATAATCCTAAGAGATAGGAAATATGGTGCTTATGATAAGGTGACAAGTAAGAAATTAATGAGTCTTATTCTGGCTGGTCTATATAGGTCTAAACCACCCAAGTATGGGGCGTGTAGGGAGCCAGTTGGATTCTTGGGTCTAGAATTTGCTCAGATGGCCCCATGTGCTGTAGATATCTGTTTCTCATACTTACTATGGAGTCTCATGTGGCCTAAAACTCCTATTTTTTTGATAACCTGCTTTGGATGTGATTGTCTGATGGGCTCTCTGCTCCTCCTCATACCTGATTCTAGCATTCACCCTCTGACCACATACAATTTGGCTGACATTCATCACTTTAAAAAAAAAGTCCACTATCTATTTTCCTGTAGAGAATGACCTCTTTCACTCTATAGATTCTGGGAGGGAGGAGACTTCCAGGGTTTGTTTCAACTGTAGATGCCCTAAGAGGGTTGCTCTTCTTCTTAAGGGTCAGGTACATGACAGAGTGCCCAGTAGGAGGCTCTTTTTAGGGATTCTGCAACTTGACTAGGTGGCCCAGGGAAGAACAGTAACAGTTGAAGGTCATTTGTCTAGGCAACACCATACTAACCACCCCATTTCTGCTAGGAGACCACTGTTGAAATTCCTACTTCATAACTTTTTATTGCACCTCTGGTTCTTGCTTTTTCTCAGACTGGTCCTCAGGCCTCGTGTTAATTTTAAGAACCCCTCGTGTATGAGTTAGTTATTGGTATTTCTTGCTTATAACCCAGATCCTAACTGGTACACACCCTAATGATAGTGAGGACACTCCAGCTTTTTGTCCTAGGCTCTGCTAGAGAGGGAGATTGGACAAAAGTGAGCAAATGGAAGAATTCATAGTAGAGAGAAATAGGTGTCAACAAAATATCTCATTTGGCTTTTTCTCACAGCATTTCTTAGCTTTCTACTGCTGCATAACAAATGATCATAAATGCAGTGATTTAAAACAACACCCATTTGTTATCTCAGAGCCTCTGTAGGCTGGTGTTCATGTATGGTGCAGATGGGTTCTCTGTTCAGGGTCTCACCAGGCTGAAATCCAGGTGTCAGCTTGGATTGCCATCTCATCTGAGGCTTATGTTCTCATTCCAGGATCACTGGTTGTTGGCAGGATGCATGTCCTTACGGTAGTAGGACTGAGGTCTCCAATTCCTTGCCAGCTTTTGGCCAGGGACTGCTCTCAGTTCCTAGAGGCTGCATGCAGGTCCTTGCTTACTGTGTGGCCTCCCCATAGAGCCTCTCACATATGGCAGTCTGCCCCTTGCAGGACAACAGGAGAGCATCTTCTGCAGCTCTGAATCTCCGTCATGCCTTCTATTTCTAGACCCTCTCGCACAAGGGCTCACCTGATTAAAGCAGGCCCACCCACACTCAAGGAGAAGGTGTTATGAAGGGCACACACACCCGAGGAGGGGAATCTTGGGGGTATATCTTAGAATTTTGACTACTACAGCATTCCTGTGAGAATGCCATTTGGAGAAGTCTATTACTTAGCCCCAGATTATCATTATGTATTCAAAGAAAGTAAATCTAGGACAGTTGGCTACAGTGGCTAACATCCATGGACAGAGCTTTTGCCTATATGGCCATTCCTGGGGCTTGCTGGAGAGCAATGTATTTGGGTGCCAGTGTGGGGGTTTATTAGTGTTTCTAGAACAAGTGATGACACTGTTAAGTAGACTCTTGCCTTTCGTTTGTTTGGTCAAGGACAAATTTATTTGTGTGTTTTTGG